CCTGAAATATTGGATAAAGTTTCTTCATCTCGTTGCTGCTCAGCAAGCAACCAATTGTCCGATATTTCGGCCACCGAAACGCATTTGTTTTCAGGACTGGGATACGATTAAGTAGTTATCTTCGGTGGCAACGGATTAAAAAAAATTTACGTGGGCCAGCTTTGAACCAGGTACATATTTTATATCAAAATCAAACATCTGCATATAGGCCAACCAACGTTGTACTTTATTTCGCGTAGCTTGCAGAGAATAACAATCCGTAAATACAACAAAATGTCGGCCGTGTAAATAGTGTCGAAACTGTTTCATTGTGTCAGACACGGCTAGTGTTTCTAACTCGTAAGAGTGGTAAAGTGATTCAGTTGCGGATATTTGTTTACTGAAATATTCAATTATCCTAGGTTTATTGTCGATTTAATGGAGTAGCATTGCACCGTAGCGTCAGTGTGCAGTTCGAGGGGATATTGGGGGTCAAAAAAATTAAAAGCACCGGCTTCTCAGTTAAAATTTTGATAATTTTTTTTTCACTCTTCCTCATGGTTGCCTTTCCAGTCGGATACTTTATTTTTACAAGTAAGGGCGTAAAACGACTTCAATATTTCGGGACGAACTGTCGAAAGTATGATGCCAAACCTTACTTGTGTAACTGACTGCGGAGGGGGTAGATTAACCAAAGCATGTACCTTTTGCGAATTGGATCTAACTTCGTCATCTTTGATTTGAAACCTAAATAATCCACGTTTGTTTTTAAAAAGGAACATTTCGCGAAATTAAATGAAAACCCAGCTTGAGATAATAGGCTTAAAACTGTTCTTAATCTTTCAAATGCTTCTTCTTGTGTACTAGAGGTTATTAAGACATCATCCATATCACCTAACGCCTTAATTACCGCCCTTTGAAACACAGGTGCCGCATTCTTAAGTCCGAAAGGCATTGTTAAGAATTTAAATTGATCCTCTGGTGTAACGAATGCTGTACGTTCAACTGAGTTTGGATGAATCGGAATCTGGTGATAACCGCTTGCCATATCCAACCACGTAAAATACTTTACCCCACCTTATCTAGCAATCTGATCATTTATAAGAGGCATGGGATACTTTTCTGCCACCGTGTTCGAATTTAACTCTACACAGAGTCGGTCAGATCCGTCTTTCTTTTTTTTTACCAGAAGCAAATGGAGAAGAGCTAGGATGGGTGATATTAGCTTGTAGTAGTTCATTTATTCTTTTTCTCACTGTCTCTTTTTCATCGATACTGAGTCTGTAAGGCCGCCTTTGGATCGTCTTATTTGGATTAATTAATCGAATATGAAACTCTGTGGTTATCACTCGACCTTTAGGGAATCCATCTATAAATGCGTCCGAGAATTCATTCAAAATGCACAACAAGCTTGTCTTATTTACACCATCCAAACCAGTATTGATATTTGAAAAATTACAACTATTAATCAAAGCAGAACAGGTATTTATAGATACAGTTTTAAACAGTTTAAATTTATCGATCGTTATTGATACGCCAAAACCCTGACATAGAATTTCGAATTTAACTATCTTGAATAACATACAGAATAACTTCAAGCGTGTACTCGCTAATCATGACATTGGATAATATTTGTAAAGTACTAGTTACCGTATTATTTCCAATATCTCTTAAGCTAACAACATTATTGGTTTGTGCGCCGGACAGCTGTTGGGATACCGATTCGTTTACGAGGGAGCACTCTTCTTCAGAATCAAAGCAAAATGGATACGACTCACCGGATGATGTCAAAATGCTTATTGGTCCTGATACGTTACACAAGTTAATACGCTTTTCTTCTGATTTGCCCTGGATTTGTAAAGATAGACGTCCTGGGCAAACCGATGCAATATGTCCTGGATTCTTTTCACTTCTTTTTGCATTTCTGCATTTTTCACTGCTTTTATCACTTCCATCATGCTTCGGTGTTGCATTTCAAGAAGTGCACAAACGCGATCATTGGACTCAATTTGGGGTGTAGGCGATCCCACTTCTGATGTCGGAACATCGAGTTCCTCAGTGAATTCTGGGGCGTTGCGAGCCGTGCGCTTTCTCGGCTGTGACATTTCGTAACCTTTTGGTACCGCACCTCGATCGAGACTGTCCGATCTATCCATCAGAACTCCCTTTTATACAGCTCAAATTGGTCAACGTCCTCTTGTTCACATACTTTGCCAAATACCATATGGCCGTATCAGTATCAGTTCTGACTTCGTCGAAGAAAGACGTATTACTGCCAAACCATCGCCGAACCCAACTAACACAAAAACAACACTCTTTGAAAAACAAATAAAAGCATAAAACATAATTAGAAAATACAACAACAAAAACCAAACCGAACAGTTACAAACGCAAGTGCAGCGGGCGGCAGCCCAAAAATCATACGATGTCGCGACCACCGGACTTACATGACCAAACACAATGTGACAAATCAACATTTTTGGAACCAAAATACATCCTCATTACAAGAAACGACAAAAAATCTTTTGAAGACGTCAACCCTTTTATAATAAAAAAAGTTATTGATTATCAATGCAACGGCGTAGTGGACTCAGTTAAAAAAACTAGAGATGGAAACCTGTTAGTAAAAACCAAAGGTCTTGTCCAAGCTCTTAGACTTCTGAAACTCACTCAATTCCACGACTTCTCAGTCACTGCATCTGAACACCAAACACTGAACTCTTCCAAAGGCGTCATATACTCCAATGATCTTCGATCCATTGGAAAAGACGAAATATTAAAAGAACTCCTATCTCAAAAAGTAACAGAAGTCGAAAAAATATACCAATTCAAAGACAAAACTCTACAAGAAACCGGACTCATTATCCTTACGTTCGGAACTACAACCTTACCACAAACAATTATGATAGGATATGAACGCGTAAACGTTCGTCCTCATATTCCTCGCCCCCTTAAATGCCGCAACTGCCACAGATTTGGACATCCCACAAAGTTCTGCAAAAGCCCAAAACTATGCAACAAATGCTCAGAACACCACCCTACAGATGATAACAACTGCACCAATCCTGAATACTGCCTAAACTGCAAAAACATTCCAGACATTAAAAACAACCACACCCCCCTCGACAAAGCCTGCCCAACATTCATAAAACAAAAGGAAATCGTTGCCATTAAAACCATCGAAAAAGTTGACTACAAAACCGCAAAGAATTTGTACCACCAACGCCACACACATCAGTCAACATCATACTCCAATATAATACAACACTCATGCAAACCAACATCAGCACAGATAGTCAACAACACGCCAACTCCCTCTGTTAAGATTCAGCCCCAAAACAAAAGGAAAATTAATACATACGACGACATCCAGGAACAACCAAAGAACGCGAAACCTACCCAACGCCCCACCGACAAGGAAGACATGGATACACTTGAACCACTAAAGGACACACAAATCACAAAGAATAACCCAGACTCAGACCGTAAGCTCAGATCACAAACAAAAGACAAACCAAACCTACTTAACAATACACTTAAAGCAAAAAACAAAACTGAAAAACCTACATCATCAAACAAAGCAACATATAAAATAGCTACAAACCAAACTGACTCAGAAGACGAAATATTATAAGTTCCCTGCAAAGCCTAAATACATTAAATACATTAATTTCACACTCTTAGATTTTACTATACTAAATGCTCAAAATAATTCAGTGGAATATCCATGGCTACAAAAACAATTACCCAGAACTTCAAATTTTAAGTAAAACTTATAACCCACACATCATAGCACTTCAGGAAACCCACATCACAACTCCCACTCAAATCCCTACCCCGGTTAATTATACCTCATATCATAGTATCAACAACTCAAATAGCTTTGGAGGCACATCGCTACTAATTCATAACTCTATTTCCCAAAAACAACTATCCCTATCCACAGATTTCGACGCAGTTGGAGCCACTATTCACTCCAAATCAAAATTTAACATAATATCCGCCTATATCTCCCCCAGTAAACCCTTTAACACCAAAAACTTGGAAAACGTATTAAATTCGCCAAACGCCCAAACACTTGTGCTAGGCGACTTCAACAGCTGGCACCCCAATTGGGGCTCGCCTAAAGCGAACAAAAGAGGCACAACAATAGCGACTTACATAGACAAGTCTAACTACATCCTACTTAATGACAACCCAGTCGGAAGTTAGAGAACGCATTCCAATAAAAAAAGCTTCTTTCATACATGCTTTGCAAGCGAAAAAGAATGTAAGAAGCTATAAAGAAGCATTTTTTATGCATTCTAAAGAGTTTTTGTGAAATCGTCCCTTCTACTACAATGCATAAAAAAGCCTTCTTTTGCAATGTAAAAAAAAAAAATGAAACCCGAACGATGCCGATCGTCCGATATTTTTGAGATTGTGTTTTTCACCGAAAATCTCGCTTACCAATGAACGCAAAAAGAAGTCTTGTTTTGGAATGGACAAAAAAATGGGAAACAAATGTAATCTATTTTTCTTAATGAACAGCAGCGACGTAAATATATACACTTTTTATCTTTATAAACAATATCAGAACGCTTTGTTATGTTGGTGGTATATGACTTGTTAAACTTTTTCTAAAATTAATTCTGTAAAAATATTAATATTTAACTTTATTAATAATAATATTTAATATATTTTATAATGTATTAGAAAATTATTAATTTGACGCAGTTTTTTATATATTTTAATTTTAGGTAATAATATATACAAGATTACAATGATTCCTTTTTAAAGCGTTTTGAATTATTATTTTACATTTGCCGGCGCTATAGTTTCCTCCGCCACTGTATACACAAGGAGTAACCGAACAAAACGGTACTCTAAAAAGCAAACGACAAGAACAAAAGGGAAAAGGCAAGAAAGCGCGCGGCCTTTTTCGTTTCTTTTGCATTTCTCGCCACTTGCATTTTGATTTTCAATTGAAATAGCTGGTGTTTGATTTGATTTGTGAATTGTGAAATTTATATATTCTTTGCGGTTTTAATTTTCAGGTAAGTATAGTGTTGATATAAACAAACTATAAAGGAGTTCCAATACTGTTCATAAAATAACATGAACCAAACAATAGATTAATTAAAACAATATGTGATGTGTACCTGTGCCAAAAAAACATTAAATTTATAAACACTTATTAACAATCTTATATACAGTGTACGGTCAAAACAAATTGTTCCTAAAACTGTGTGTGGCTGTTAATCAAATAACTAAAAATAATTATTTATTTGAGCGTACACTGCAATAAGACTTCAGTTTTATTTAATAATAAATACATATCCATAAATTCTGTTAATTTAATTAATGCGTTTTAAATATTATTTTCGTTTAGTTCCAGAAGAACTAGTTCAAAACAAAAGGTAATTTTTATATATTTCATAAATTTAAATTTTGTGTTTTTTGAACTCGTTTCGTTTATTTGTGTGCTCTCTTTTTCTCTCTTCCTTTTACTTCTACCTAGGGTGGACTTACATCTACATAAAAGTTGTGTTTTATTAGGGTGGACCTAAGAACACAAATTAAGTGAACAAAAATTTAAGAAAAATAAACATAAATTTAAATAAATAAACATTACATAAATAAAAAAATTTAATAACTTAATTGAAAAAAATATTATACAAAACAAACATAACTAATATAATTTAAAATGAGGGGAATGTCGCGGTCAAATATTCATCGCTTAACGAAAAAACAAAAGGAAGAGCTTCAGCAATCGGCTGCTAGAGCTCTTACTTTTGATACAGAAAATAATTCTGGAAATGAATGCCTATGTGAACCCGAATCGGATAAAAGTGCATCAAACTATTCTTATGAGTATGATACCTATGAATCTCCGTGAAAAATTATTAGAATGGTACCATAATAATAACGTTACTAGAGTTCATATTGATGCACTTTTAAAAACTTTTGAATTCGGAAAATCTAGATCTTCAATAGGATATTAAGTCCAAGTTTGATAATGGAGCTTAATTATGGCGGTACTAGGGACAGTACCTACATTCATTTAAATGGAACATTATTCGGTAAGTGTTTTACAAACTTACAATCATATTTTAATAAAATTACATATTTCCTTCTCATTATTATATTTTATATTATATTTTCTCATTATTATATTTTCAGAGTCACAAAGAAGGGACGGTTACCGCTTCACCGACCATATTAAAGACCTTCGACTGGCCTTCTCTAGGGCCAAAAATAAAACTTACAAGGCTAAAAGTTTGGCCAAAAAGATGAGAGAGGACGAAAACGGCCAGGAGTAATACAATAAGTTTTAAAGCATGTATATATTAAAAAAAATTAAATAAATAAAAATTGGAATTGAAAAAAGAAACGGTTCCCAATAGCTTTTTTGGGAAGGATAATATTTGCATTCTTGGGTAAGACAATTAGATGGCAAGTTTTGGAATCATACTAAATGTGTTCTTGTGGAAGGGATCAATATTCATTCTTTAGATGTGTTACGCAATGCTTACTTTGGAAGCTATCCGGGAGAGTTCCCGAGGAACGTTTCTATGTTCATTCTAACAGTGCGCTGTAGAATGCTTCCTTCGTAAAGTACAAATGGAAGGGAAACCCGAGCGTTTCCGAAGTTGAAACTACCTTCCAATGGAACGCATTAAGACTCGTTCTTAGATCGGTTCTAAAAGAAGGCTTGCTTTTTGTCCCGTCTCGAACAAAAAGGAAAGGAAGCTTTCAGGGATCTGCAATGCGTTTTTCGCATGCAAAGGAAGCGTAAAAGAACGCATCCTGGAAGCGTGTTTTTTCCGACTGGGAAATCACCAACCCACTTCTCGACACACCAAACACACACACACATAGACCTTTCCTTTGCAACAGCCAACATAGCCCCAGATTTCCACTGGAAAGTAATGGACGACCTCCATGGTAGCGACCATTTTCCCATACTAATCTCAACCTCCATTCTTCCTACCTCCCCCACCTTCACCGCTAAACCGACATTCAAACTCAAAGAAGCAGATTGGATTCTCTACAGAAATAATATACTCAAACTAATGTCAAAATCTCAACCTAGCTGTAACGTCAATCATGAAGCTGCTACAATAAAAAGGATTATAATAGAAAGCGCCCACCTCTCAATCCCCCAAAATACCACATTCCCCCTACTCCGCTCAGTTCCGTGGTGGAACATGGAATTAACTATCCTTAAAAAAGATAAAACCAAAAAATGGGCCAAATTCAAAACAAATATAAACACACACAACATGATAGAATACAAAAAATCAAACGCTAAATTTAAAAGAGCAATTAGAGAAGCTAAACGCACCTCAATTTATAATTTCACCTCACAAATTAATCACAACTCAGACCCATCTAAAACATGGGCAAATATTAAACGCCTGTGCGGCTTATACCCCACAAAAACCATTCACTCCTTATATAACCCAATAACCCAGTCAGCTATAACGGACCAAACAGAAATAGCGAACTTTATCGGACAATCTTGGTCAGAAGAAGCAGAAGATTACAACTTTTCCTCATCTTTCCGACAAAGCAAGTACAGCCTAAACACAAACTTAGACTACTTTCCCTCTAAAACAGCAATCGAAATCGAGAAAGACATCACATTCATTGAATTTTCATCAGCCCTTAACTCCCTAAAAGGCAACACTCCAGGCCTAGACCGCATATCATACTCTATGATTAAAAACCTTCCTGACACCTTTAAACACAGAATTATTAACAACTTCAACAACATCCTGAAATCCCATATTCCTCAATCTTTCAAACTCAGCTTAGTCTTACCTATCCTTAAGCCCTCAAAAACCCAAACAGACATAAAATCATATAGACCGATATCCTTAAACTCATGTCTAGCCAAAGTACTAGACAAAATAGTTGCTAAAAGGCTGTGGTGGTTCGTTTTAAACAACGACCTCATTCACAGCAACCAATTCGGTTTCAAAAGAGGTAAATCTGTACTAGACAGTCTACTCTACATAGACCACTTAGCTTCCAGATCTATTTCCCTCAAAAAGCACCTCTCAATAATATCTTTAGACTTTACCAAGGCCTTCGACAAAATTGGCATACACACTGTTATTAACCAACTCCTCGAATGGAAACTGGGTCATCATATCATTAACTACGTCAAAAACTTTATGACAAACCGTAAAATAACTGTAAAGTCATCCAACAACCTCTCTAAATCTTTCCCCCTCAACAATGGAATCCCGCAAGGATCTCCAATTTCTGTCATTATATTCCTTATTGCTTACAACTCCCTTACTACAATAATTTCCATTCACAAAGAAGTAAAATTCTGCGCTTACGCAGACGATTTCCACTTCCTCATCGAACATAACAAACTTAAAAACCCCACAACCAATCTCGAATCAGTCTTTAAAGAAATAAATGAATGGTGCACGCTCTCGGGCTCAGTCCTGTCAAAGGACAAGTGCCAGACACTCCACATCTGCCGAAAACACAACTGCAAAGCAAAACTGCTCACAGGAAACACACCCATTAAAACCACTCAAACTCTTAAAATCTTAGGCCTTACCATAAACAGAAGATACGATTGGTCATCCCACATAATCAAACTTAAAGCCGACCTTGCTAAACCTCTCGGAATAGTCAAACACCTCTCCTCAATGAGATACAACACCAACACCACAACACTAATTCAAGTTCTAAAATCTTTAATAGTTTAAAAAATTGACTACTGTTTACCCATTTATGGGTACTCACCTAAGTCCCATCTAAATAAACTAAAAACTCCATTAAACGCTGCAATAAGAGCAGCACTTGGAGCATTCCGATCCACACCCACACATAACTTACTAATAGAAGCCAACGTTAATACTATAGAGCACAAACGAGACTTCCTTACCGGCAACCTCTTTAAAAATCTATTACACTCCAAAGATACCCCACTTATCAAACTTTTAAAAACAAATAAAAAGAAACACAGATACCCTAGCACAATAGATAGAACAATCCAAATCTGCAAAAACCAAAACATCCCATTCCACCCAATAAAAAAGAACACCTGCAAAAATTTTGACCTAGTTGCAATACAAAAGTCGATCAACACCGATCTAACCAAACAAAACAAAAACTCCACCCCCCCAATAATCTTTCAACAACTCTTCCAATCCCTAAAATCCACATACCCGAACCACAACTTTATTTACACCGATGGATCGAAGGCAGAAGACAACATCGCGTACAGTGTTACCGATGAAAATAATGTAATCAAAACAGGCCTTCTACCTGCCTATTCTACAGTCCTTTCCAGCGAAATAATAGCCATCTACAAAGCTGCACAAATCTGTATTAAAAAAAGAGGCAAGCACGCCATATGTTCAGACTCACTTTCCTCCATCACCTCCATCGCAAACCCTAACAACAATTCCTACTACCCCACCACTATCCGTAACCTACTTTCCAAACACTTTCCCAAAATAACATTAATATGGATACCAAGCCATGTTGGCATCAAAGGAAATGAAACAGCGGACTCTGAAGCAAAAAAAGCAATCAGACAACCCCTCATATACACAGACAATTACAACTCCAGAGACATCACTCAGAACCTCAAAAAATCATTAAAACACAGACACACAGAATTATTAAACAAAACCTCGACATGGTACCAATACATATCTAAATTATCACCACCTAACTTCCCACATAACTTCCCCGAACTTAATAGGAGACAACAAATCGTAATCACCCGCTTGCGACTTGGCCAAAGATGACAAACGCACACTATATTGACCGTTCAATACCGAACACATGCCCACTGTGCAACAACGCTCTTCTAGACGTTAACCCTATCCTTTCCCTTTGCCCTTCTCTCTCGACACAACGATCCTCATCATTCCCCAATCTAAACCCAACCCAGGCCTTAGCCAATCCCACCAAAGTTAATTCCCTAATGATCCTCACTTTCTTAGAAAAATCAAATATAATCTACACAATATAAACTATTCCTAAGGTATATAAGTTCATCAGAAAATGTATATATATATATAAAACCATAAGTAGAATAATAATATAAAATAAATAATTAAATAATGCTAGTATAAAATACTAAACCACCCTCAGAGCTGAAGGCCTCTTGCAGCTAAAGCTCTAACCACAATTTTTGTTAACTCCTAGTTTTAACTATTAGTTAGCATTGTATAAAAAAATAAATAAATAAATAAATATGGCCGTCTCTTTTACTCGTACCATGTCACACCGAGACTGCACATAACAGAAATCCGTTAGGCTAAACGCAACACTTACACACAGAAACTCATATAAAGAAAGCAATGCAAAGGGAGGAATAAAAAGCAACGAGTGGCATTCATAAAAAATCCTAAGTAAAAGTGAATTTCCAAGTAAGTCAGCATTTCATATTAATTCTTATTTTAATAGCGTAATACCACGAAAACAAAACTAAAGATCCGACATATACTTTATAGGGTCGGAGATGGCTCCTTCACTGCGTTGCAAACTTCTGACTGAAATTATAATACCCTCTGCAAGGGTATAAAAAATGATAACTTCCTTGTTATTAAACATATTTGCAGATATTAATACTTTTAATCGCAGAAATTTATACTTTATATAAAAGGGTTATATACAGATTTTCTCAAGCGAAAGCCGTTTTTTTGTGCAAAGTCGCACTGGAATCGAAAGACTATATTATAAAACTTTAGGAGAAACAATAATTACTTTCGAAAATTGTTACAATTTAGTCAAAATCAGATGGTTAAAGATCTAATAGGTGAACATATAGAATAAAAAATAACTTACTTTTTTATAATACATATTTGCAGATATTAATACATTATGTTGCAGAAATTTATACTTTACATTGAGGGGTTATATACAAATTTTCTCAAGCGAAATCGAAAGCGAACAAAAAATGATAACTTCCTTGTTTTTAAACATTGCAGAAATTTATTCTTTATATAAAGCGGTTATATACAGTAAGAATTTTAAAAAATTTAGTATTTTTCATTTTA